AAAAAAAAAAAAAATTACTTCCCTGACATGGAAGGAGTATTGGTGCATCTGGCCAGTCCTGTTCTGTCCTCAATTTGAGGGCTGTAGTGCAGGGAGAGTGGAGCAAATAACAAGGTGGAACAATTTCCAAATGCTCACAATACAGAAACTCTTATTCTGTTATTAGCCCCATCTCCAGAAGAGCAGGTTCCATGAACTGCTGATAGAGTTTGTATAGTGCTGCATCTTACAGAAACCAACACCCACCCATTTCATGAAATTTGTAGGCCTTGTCTTCACCAGAAGTGGCAAGCATTTTTAAGTAAAGCTCAAATTTTAAATGTCTGTGTTTTAAAGTGGTATAAGAGGCTGGCTAGGCACTTCTAGGTCATTCTTTACATGTGTAAGTTGATCCAAATGAATATAAGGTGTAAATTTAAAAGCTGTGTCTGTATAACTCGCTGAGTGGACACTTCTTTCAAAGTGGGTTAAGCTGATCAGGAGTGGAGTTTGGCATTAGTGTTCATTTATGGCATTAATTGGGCACAACCTTAGTTGTTGACATGCCCTTAATTTGGTTTTAACCAGGTTTATTTCATTTTAGTTGAAGTCAATTTAATCTGTAGCAAAGTAAGCCCCAAGTGTTGTTAAATCAAAATAGGAATATTCAGATGGGGCTCTGCCACCATTTAACTTAAATGGTTTTAAAAAATAATCTAAACTCATGCAGCTTCCTTCTGTCACCAAGGCCCTTCATAATTATCAAGAGCAAGAGAGATGTGGCCAGGACCTTTCTACCTAGTTCAGCTGTGGATTTAGGGCTAATCCACACACAACCTTGAACTGGCTAAATTTAGAGTACGTAAACCAGTGCAGATGCTAGTGTGGATGCTCTTATTTCAGACTAGTTTAGTTTAGTTTATGCTGATATTTAATCAATTCAAGACTGAACAGAGGTAAATCTGGATTAAAACAAAATGAGTGTCTCCACAGCCTCTCATGTACTGACTTAGCTAAATCCTTTTAAAATTGTTCCTTATGCTCAATTCTGCATATAAGCAAGCTCTTAGTTTAGTTTTCTTTAGTTTAAAATAGAAGTTCTACAGCTATTCCCTTATGACGTTTAGGAGATGTATGCATGCTTTTAGCAAGTACATGTTTCTTTGTCTGCTGCTGTCATCTTGTTGATAGCTCATCTCTGGTGGATTGTAGAGGAAGGTGGAAGGTCCCCTCATTTTTCCTAAAACCCTAAATGCAGGTAGCCTTAACTGCTGGATTTCCCTGGTCATTTCTTCAGGCTTTTGGGTGTTGACTTTATCTATAAATGAGGTTAATTAAAAAAAAAACCCGAAACAAACCAAAAACAACTTTTCTCTTTGCAAAATTAATTGTTGGATGTAGCAGCAAATTAAGAAAAAAGCCCCTTCAAAGGCTTTGTTCTAGTAACACAAGGCAAAGATGCTGTTACTGCGGTGAATGTTTGAAGCACAGTAAAAAACGAAGGGTTAACAATGCATGGATTTCAAGGGGCTCTGTTTAGTTTCCTTTGTTTTTATTTTCTGGTTTTGTTTTTTTATTATTTTGTTTAGTTTTATTTTTGTTTAATTTCTGTGTTCTGGCCACACCCAGGAGAACCGTCTGCTTTTGATTTCTCCCTTTACGGTTACATGGTAAATTTTCTTTCTCATTCTTCAGAGATGGAAACGTTCAAAAACACTCTCTCTATATATATATATATATATATTTATTTATTTTTTACACTGCTCATCCTGTTGCTTGTTATTTATTGCAGAATCTGAGGCCAGACTAAAAGGGTGACAGTTACTCGGTTTCTTCAGGGCCCTTGAACACACCTTTGGGAAAAGAAGGGGATACTGCAGGCTGCAAATTGCTCAAACGTTCTAGAGCAGTGGTTTTCAACCTGGGATCCACGGACCCTTAGGAGTCTGCAGACTGTCTAAGGGGTCCGTAAAAGATGACTGTGATCAAGCACAAGTATGTGAATACCCACACTTACAATTCAAAGGGGTCCACACCTCCATTTGAAATTTTTTAGGGGTCTGCAAATGAAAAAAGGTTGAAAACCACTGTTCTAGAAAGATGTAATTGGGGTATTCAGTGCTATCCATATACATGGAGGTTTGATCTTATTCCCTACTGGATGATGAGTTAGTGGCAAAGTGATGGTGGAGGGGTATGGGGTGGAATGCCCAGTCTTATAATTATTGTAAGTCCTATTGAACCTAGTTTAGAAAACCCTGACTCTCTCTGTTGACCCAGAACTTTATTCTCCTTTGATTTGCCCCAGTATCTACTGCTGTGGGGAGAGCATCCACCACTGTATAACTAAGCTACTCAATATTGTTCTCTTGAAACATTGACTTTTTTTTTTTCACTAAGACAGGAAGTCTTGAGCTTGAGGAAAATGTCTTGGATATGTTAATATATAAATTAGATATATACATGATTTAGGTACCAAAAAAAATCTTTCTTCTTCGCAGGTCACTTTTCAAAGGACTTCTTAAAAATCAGTTACATACTTTTCCCCCTCCCCTGCAGCATGGAAAACTTAAAAGAAACGAAAAAGTCTGCAGGTTTTGCCTTAGCAGTAAGTCAGCTCTGGTCTTGCCTACCTTTCCAGGAGTTTTACTTGGAAGTCTCTGACATGCATTATGAGGTCTTATGCTCGACTCGAGAGGGCAAAGGTTTTGAGTCTTTAACACTAGCTATTCTCCTAAGTGTTAATTCAATACTGAAATTAAATGGGTGTTAAAAACAGAGTTGTACAGTCTGGCCAAGGGCTTGTCTATGCTTTAGGCTGGAACCAAAACATAATTAATTTTGTTTTAATTCACACTTTTAAGTGCATCAGTCCAAGTCTGTGTGTGGATGTTTACTTGGTAGTGAGAGTACCCAAAAGTTTAACTTGTAAGGTTTTTTTAAATTGTTTTTTAAGCCAGACAAATTCCATTTGAAATGATCTGAAATCAGTGTCTGCACACAGACTTGCGTTATTTATAAAAGTGGGAATTAAAATCAATTGAGTCTGGTTCTAGTCTGTGTGTAATAGGCCATAAAAACCCCTGCCCCTCCATTGCAAATTTTTCTATAACATTGCAGAAGACATAAATTGTATTAAATCTCCACGGTGTCTCCTTAGGCAAACCAAGGCTGGTGGTTTTCAAGTTAAACACTACAACCTCTGTGCCCTCCTGCCCCCAAGTCGTTTTAAAACAGAACTTTCCAGGATGCCTTTCTGAAGCCTCCAGAATAGAGCAGGGTACCAGGATATTTTTTTAATTCTTTATAGTTTGCCTTTAAAACATCTGTAATATACCTTTCCTTGATAAACTGCTTCATCCCCAATCCTCCACAACATGTTTGTGCCAGGTTTCAGAAAAGGTTTTTACTATTTCTGGTTCCTTTTTAGCCCTGATCTACTGACACACGTGCCCACATGTTGACTCATTTCAGCAGAAAACTTTGAAGCTACTGCAAAGGGGATCCACACTTGTTAGTTATATTCTTTGTTTTCTCTTTGTTAAATAATGAGAACAATGTAATTAGCTGAAAGTTTAGGTTCTTAAGTCGGGTAAGGAGGCGATTCTCTTATGGAAGCCAGCATTTAAATCATCCACCAAGATTTTTTTTCTTCCTGAACACAAAATAATAAAAAAGCCCACTTTATCAAAGTAAAACAGCTTTATGCTTAAAACCCAGTTATGAAGGATAAATACCAACACTCATGAAGGAAATCACTTGAGCCCTTTCAGGTTCTTACTATAAAACCTTAAAGGGCATTTAAAAATGATAGCCCAATTGCTTCTTGCTATTAACCTTGCTTAGAAATCCAGATGCTGCTTCTGTATTTTATTCCTTCGTATGCGGTCCTGCTGCAGGAAAGGGGCTGCAAAACTGGGATGTGTTTTCCCTAGAAAAACATGAGCCCCTAAAACTTGGCCTCTGTTCAGTATCAGGACTTTCAAACATAAGGTTGTTACCCTTGCTTTCCAGCGTGATGGTGTCCGCAGAAGTTCCTTGTCTGGATTGAAAACTAGTGTTCAGTTTATACCAAGCCACAGAAACTAGGTACCCCTCTTACGTTATGCAAGCATCTTCAAAGTAATCTGTGGTGAAACGCTCATCTTGGACCACGAGTGCTAGGCAGATATTGAGAATGTCTGATATTGAAAATGAATGATGCTGAGAATTGCCAGAACTCTCTCTTATGTCTCATTTCCTCCTGGTTAAATTCCTAATTCATTTAGTCATCTCAGACCTATGCTTGTGACAATGTACTTCGTCCCCATGGGAGTGCGTGTGATGTCATATGCTGTACTGTTGTATGACTAAATTAACCAGTATAGAATGAGTCTTGCTGAGAAAGAGAGCCTTTACATGTGGGGTGAGTAGGCCGGAGGCACTGTATCTAAAGGGCCATTACAGTAATCTTTGGATCATTATAGTTCCATTATAATTACACTGGTCAGCCAAGATAAAACCATTGTTCTCCAGCTTCAGAGTGCAAGGCATCTAGAAGTCTCCCCTGATCTCCATATGCAGCTGAGAACAAATGAGGGATATCATTTTGGAGAAGGGAATACTAAGATAGGGGCCTAAGTAGGAAGAAGGTAGCAGTTGGGTGGAGAATGTCAGCTAACTCCTGTCTACTTGTAGCAGCAGCATGCCTAGAAATGTCATTCAGCTGGATCTGCTGTACTGATTGGACAATGGCAGTCCAATGATGACTCATGGCAGTCAGGTAGGGAAAATGTTTTGTGATTTATAATAATGTATAATGCTTTACAGCTTCATTTCATGTAATCATTCTACTCTTTTACCGCCCCAAGTAGTGTCAGGGCCCTGTTGAACTACGCCCTATACAGGCATAGAAGTAGGCATGTACTCTGCTCTGAAGAGCTTAGTATGGTGCTTTACAAACATCTAATCCTTTCACCTGTTCTCAAAGGTAGGTAAAATTATTCTCCCCATTTTACAGGTAGGAGAATTGAAGCAGGACAAGGGTGATTTGCCCATAGCCACGTGGGTGTTCATGCTGAAGCCAGGCTTAGAAGACCAAGTTCTTAGTGCCCAGTTCTGAATCCAAACCATTCTCTTCTCGTACTTCCCTCTCGCTCTTCCCTCTTCTCTCTCATAGCAGTCTTTAAACAGAACAAAGTGCCTTTCAAAATACAGACATATTGTACCTGTGTTTGGGGGTCAATGCAATAATACGTGCATTAATTGGCAGTAACAAGAGATCCAGCTTTTCTAGGTTAGAGTAAGGCCTGCTGTTTATCTTTAAGAATATTTGTCTCGAGTAGCTTTGTACTTCTTTTTTGGTCTGGCCTCAATTGCTTTTATGTTTTCTTTTTTATTATTATTTATTATTATTCTGATTACAGTTCCTTTTATTTTATTAAATTAAATTTATTTTATTTATGAAACATGCATGAACCAACAATGTGACTCTAGGAGAGTATTGCTGAGTTGTGCTGATGTTAATTTCATACTGTGATATTTTTTCTCTATTTACCTAGAGATCAGTATTTCAATATATAACGATGTGCATGTTTTCCCCCCTTCTCCCGCTGCATGCAGGGATTCGGGTTCGTAACTTTCGAGAATAGTGCTGATGCAGACAGGGCCAGGGAGAAATTACACGGCACCGTGGTAGAGGGCCGTAAAATCGAGGTGCATGTCTTCAGTAATTCAATTTCTTCTTTATATTTCTTCTTTTTTATTTCTTTTTTTGTGTCTTGCCTCACTTATTTCACATTTGGATCCCAGTCTTGTGTGTGCGTGTGTGTTTGTGTCTGTGTCCTTCACCTCCCTGCACTGAAATGTATAAAAGTGACACGCCTTTTAAAAATATTTTACGTTGTTTTGGAGATTTTCTTTACTTATTTTTTTCTTTTTTTAAGTTGTTTTCCCACCCACTCAATTTTTGCCCTTCTGCCTTGATTTTCCTTTGCTTCAGTTTGCGAGGTTCCGATTTCCTGTTATCAGGCCTGAATAAAACTAACTGAAAGAGTACTGTCCGATTTCTGATGTGTCCAACAATAAAGCAGGGGGCCAGCCAGTAGATCCCCTCTTTCCTTAGAGGCCAGTTCTCCTCCATGAGAGTGTGAGATGAAATTGAGAGTGGGAAGGGGAGGGTAAAGGGGAAGAAGCCACACACACATGCTGTGGCTGCTTTCTTGATCTCTCTCGGAGTTCAAAATCTAAATCTAACTCTTAAAAATTCTGTCAGGAAAGTTGTCAATTGGAAGGGTTAACTTTCGCTGGCCAATGTAGCTGTGTATGAGGCCGTTGCCTGGTGCTCGCCCATTTTGTGTTCCACTGTGCTGAAGGCTAACTGGCATCTTCCCCTTCTCCCTCATTCTTTAAAAAAAAAAAAAAAAAAAAAAAAAAGAAAAGAAAGAAAAGAAAAAAAAAGTAATAAATATTTTAAAAGAAGGAAAAAAAAAGGAAATAAATAAATTTAACAAAAAAGCCGCCGTTTTGAGTAAGATGTCTGCATATTTTGCTTTTTTTTCTTTTTGTTGTTTTTTGTTTTTTATTTCCCTTTTCGATGGTTTAGCGTTTAGGGCCCTTCACTTGAC